GGGAGGAGGGAGCGCTCGCCACCCCGGGCTCGGACGCCGAGCGCCGCGAAGTCCCTCCGAGCCCGTCGGCGGCGCGCGGGTCACCCAGCAGGGGGACCCGGGAAGGGCCGGCCGCGGATTGGAGCGAAGTTTGCAGCCCTCTCCGCCTCCCGGCCGTGGGACGGTGGTGGGAGGGGAATGGTATGCGAGAGGCTCCGCGCCCTCGGAGCCCGGTTCCCACCCAGTCTCCGTCACCTGGCTGCCAGGGCGAGGGCGCCCCAACCCGGGGAGCTCCACGGGGAGCAGCACAGAGGCCGGGCCAAAGGGAAGCCCGGGGTACCGGGGTAAAACAGAGCAGGCTCGGAATCAGCGGGGCTCTCCCCTCCATGCACTGTAACATAAGTGAAAGTTAACTTGATTGCAAGTGCGCGCACGCCAGGAATGCAACAGTTTTCAACAAGTAATCTCCGCTCTCAGTAACCTTCGTGGTATCACATTCTTGTGGGACGTCAGTCTTTTCTGACTTTTCCAGCCTGGTTTCCATAGAGTAACATATAGTAACAATCCATGAAGCCCATTCAGCTGCTATTTAAAGGTTTATCTCTTTGCAAGTGGCTTACAACCTTCCCCCAAGGAGAAAAAGAAAATCTGTTGCAGGAATTGCTATAGAGTCAGGTAAAGCAGAAAAGAATTGTGTTTGTTTTATAAATAAGTAAACTCTAGCTCTGACCTTTAACAAATATATTTTTCCCATTACACATAGGTATCCTACCATGACATAACAAGCTCTTTATTTTCACGGAGACTATCCTTTGTAGAGGAAGAGTCCGTCTAGGTGTCAAATAAACTGATGTTGTTGTGGACTGAACTGTGCCCCGCCCCCAAGGGGGGCATGTTGAAGCCCTAACCCCCGAGGGACTATTTAGAAACAGGGCCTGGAAGGAGAAAATGAAGGTTAAATGAGATCATAGGGTGGGGTCCTAATCTAGGACTGGTGACCTTATTAAAAAAAGACACCAGGGATCTCTCTCTGTGCTGGCACAGAGGATGCGTCTTGTGAGGACCCAGTGAGAAGGCACAGATCACCAGCCAGGAAGAGAGGTCTGCCACAAAGTAATCCCCAGAGCACCTTGACCTTGGACCTTTAGCCTCCAAAACTATGAGAATATAACTTTCTGTTGTTTAGGCCTCCCTGTCTTGGTATTTGTTATGTCAGGCCTATCAGACTAATGCGGATATATAGTACCAATATGTATTATTAATTTTTGTAAAAGTGTGTGTATAACAACACAGACACATACACAAATACATATACACTTACACATACACAAACTTCATACACTTAAACACACAAACTATAATAATTAGATAGGAACACTTTGCTACTCCTAACAGCCCCCATTCACTCACCCATTCTTTCATCCACTGAATATTAAAAATGTATTTATTCAGGGCTTAAACAGTTTGGGCATTAAATGTGTCCTTTGTAGTAGAGCAGTGTTCCTATCAATAAGATATATAAGAATTTCTTTACAATGTTTATTACTGCCTTTTCCCAAATTGACATTCCCTGTTTAGACCCCTTTCCTGAGTTCCAGATTCATCCATTCAGCTTCTGTCTGGATGGCTCCACATAGATATTCCACAGGAACCTCAATCATAGCAGCACTAGCATTTTCCCCACAACCCAAAGTGACCCTCTTCTTTTAACCTACATCTCAGGTGTTGAAACTCTCACCCACCGGTTGCTGAGCTAGAATTCTGGGAATCCTCCAACACTCCTTCCTCGACCCCACAGTCCCTCCTTAAGATTTTAGAGTCTGCTTGATCCCAGCCTTGGCCTTTCTACTGATTCTCTCCCCTCACCGCTTTATCTCTGCAGCTGTAGTCCTTAGTTCACTCAGCATCTCTCCCCCAGGCTTCTCCCCGATTTCCAGGCCCCAGCTTGAACCCTCCTCTGATCCATGCTTCACAACTTATCTTCCCACTCTTTTCTGTCCTAGCCACTGTAAATCCAACAGAGTAATGTTTCATCACTCTTAAAGTTTTTCACAGTGGCTCCCCACAGTCTGCAGTCCCAACCTTCAAATTCTGGCCCCTGCTTATGTCCCTGTCTCCCTCAACTGTCCTCTCAGCCACCTGAACGGAGACCTCCCTTTGCAAGGACGAGCATGGTACCCACTCCTACCAGGCTTTTATACACGTGACCAGAACATCTGCCCCCATACCCGCCCCCATCATTTTTTCACTTGCTAACTGTTTGTTCTTCAAGGAGTTATCTTCCAACGCATCTGCCGAAGACCAGCTTCAAGGCCCCTCGCTCGTGGCAACCCCAGCACCCCATGAATACTGCTCCCGCCGTAGTAAGAACCAACTACCTGATTTGAAATTGCTCATTTGTTTGTTTCCTCCACATGACCGACGGTGCCTGCTTGAGAGCAGGGACTGTGACCTTTATCTCTGAACCTCAGTCGTGTAATAGCCACCTTAGTAAACATCCACTGGATAAAGAGAGCATAAAAGGGGGAGAAAAACCCTACAAACCTGTGAAGGATCCAAACATACATGAAAGCAGTGAAGGTTGAAACATGGGGCATGGTTTCAGACTCTCTTTCAGGCTTTTCCCCTATGTTAGAATGAGAAGGACCATGCAATAGGAGAAATTAGGACCCACCGTGTCAAGTGAGTGGATTAGGCCACACAATTAGCTTGTGAGGGCAGCCCTTCCTCAAAACCCAGACCTCCTATTTTATGTACTTAACAATTTCCACTTTATCCTTAAATAACTTTACATATCTGTAGTAGATTATTTTTTGGTATAATTCTGTGTTCAGCATCTCTCTCCTCAGCTAGACCATTGCCGAGACCATTTACCCCTTGTATAGCTAATGTAGAAGATATTCAGTATGTATTTGTTGACCTCAAAAATAAGCCAGAACTAGATCCAACATGTACAGACACCCCATTTCTGCATCTTGCTTGCACCCCACATGGCCTCCAGTATGCTTCAAAATTTTTATATGACAAAGGTATAATTCTTGGGTACTAATAACTTGTGCACTCAAAAGTCTGGAGGTATTTGGCAGAATCTTCCTATAATGCAATATCACTCTTTGTTACTTTCCTCATTTCTATATTGTAAGGATGGAAGAAAATGAGACGATAATGATAAATTCAGCCCCAAATTAAAATCTAGAAAGAGCAGAGGGAGAAAAAGAAGCTGCCAAAGACTCAAGTGTTTGCTCATTAATAAAATGCAGGATAATTCCCATTAAGAAGAACTAAGCTGGACTTCTGGTAAAAGAGCAGGTGTACCTGACTTCCCCCAGGGGGATGTTTAAGGATTTTAGAATAGAAAAGAATCATAATGGTCATCTAGTCTAAAAGTCTTCTTTCAAAGATAAGCAAACATGTAGTCGGATTAAATTCTAGGGAACAGGAAGCAGAACTAAAACCAAAGCCTCAGGTCTCTTGACTCTTGGTTCAGTTATTTTTCTATCGCCCCGTGATAAGGGCATGTAAATAAACA